TAAGACGCACCTCAGACACCACAGAGCCTTCCCGACCGAGCCTGCTTTCAGAGGCTTAGGTCCCTGCTCCTCTGCCTTTTCTCTGGCATAGATAAGCCCCGCCTCTGCCACAGTGCCTTTGAGTGGCTTGCCTCCCTCCTGCCATCCCCACCTGACCCTCGACCTGGCGGTGGCTGGCTTCCGCCCTTGGGCATGCTGGAGCCGGAGCGGGCAAGCAGACCCATGACCCCGCGTTTCTGCAGGAAGAGCACCGCGAGGCCAGGCTGACCCTCCGGCCCCCCAGCCTTGCTGCCCCCTATGCCCCTGTGCAGAGCTGGCAACACCAGCCGGAGAAACTCATCTTCGAGTCCTGTGGTTATGAGGCCAACGTGAGTTGCCCCTGCCTTCCCAACCCAGCCGGCCTCCTGCTTCCTGTCCCCCTCCCCGGCCGGCTCTGGGCGCCAATGCTGTTCTCTGCTCCTCAGACCTACGCTCCCAGCACCTGGCGGGGAGGGGGGCTCCCCAGCCAGCTTGGGAGAAAGGCATTGGAAGGGAATCATCGGATTCTGGTCCCAGATGGGTTGGGTCATCCCTTCCTCATAATGTAGGTCGCCCTAAGCCCGGCCACTGCTCACTCCCACAGTATCTGGGCTCCATGCTGATCAAAGACCTTCGAGGGACAGAATCCACACAAGACGCCTGTGCCAAGATGCGGGTGGGTTATCTCTGTGGGGTGAAGCATAGGGTGGGGGCTGGCTAGGATGGAAGGCATCAAGCAAATGGGGGTACCAGCTGCAGCTACCTGGGCGCTATGTAAGGATGGGATACGGGAGGGAGGCTGGGGGCTGTGGGGGCCCGGGGGGGCTTAATCCTGAGAAGGGGCGTTCACAGGGCCACCCCTTGTTCCCTGTAGAAATCCACCGAGCACATGAAGAAGATCCCTACCATCATCCTGTCCATCACGTACAAAGGTGTCAAGTTCATCGATGCCTCCAACAAGGTGTGCTGCTCACAGGCACTGTTGGCAGGACGGCACCCTGCTTCCCGTGCCTCATCGCCCACCGTCTGGGTGTCCTCCCGAGCATGTCCCAAGCCCCTTTGAGTCCCCTCCATTCCCACCCTAGCAGGAGCTTGTCTCTTGCGCACCCACATATCCTGATCCTGGGGCCGCGCCCTAGTGACACCACTGTGTACCGTCCTCACATGGGTTTCGTTGCCCCACTTACATGCTCATAGGTCTTTAACGGTGAGAGGCCCTTAATGAGCAGAGGATGCCCCCAGGCCCGATGCTTGGCACCCCACCTTCCTGATACCCTTCCCTCCGCACTCCCACCCTGGAAGGCAGCAGGGGCTAGAGAGCTGGTGGTTGGATGAGAGCTTTTTACTCCCTCAGTTGCCATGGTCAAGAATGGAGACCCCAAACCTAAATCGGGCAAGGTTAGACACTGTCCCCTCCCCCACCAAAAAAATAAGAGGACGTGGTGTTTGGCTAACACCCTGGGCTGGGGGAGAGGTGGCAATGGTCAGAGGGCTGAGGCATGCCCTCAGGGAGCCCGAGAATTGCAGACCCTGCTCTCCCCGACAGAACGTCATTGCGGAGCATGAGATCCGGAACATTTCCTGTGCGGCCCAGGACCCAGAGGACCTGTGTACCTTCGCCTACATCACCAAGGACCTGCAGACCAGCCACCACTACTGCCACGTGTTCAGCACGGTGGATGTGGTGGGTAGAGCCCCGCCGCTGGGCACAGCTGGAAGGGGCCTGGGTGGAGATGGCCTCTGTGCAGTGCTGTCCGGGCACCTGGTTGGCACTTAGCAAATGTTTGGTTCATGAAGGAGGCGCCCGCAGCCATCCAGTGCAGCTTCGTTTGCACAGCAGCAAGACAAGCACAGAGAACAAGTGTATTGTCCGGGGTTCTAGTGACAGGTTTTCCTGCTCCTGGCGAGTGTTAGTCAGCTGCCTTGTCTCCCCTCGGCTCTTTGTCAGTTCCCTAAGCCTCCAGCTGGGCAGGCTCCCTGAAACACCCTGTGCTTGCTTCTGGGGGCCACAGTGCCCTCCTGGCACAGGTTTTCTTCCCCCAGATTCCTGCTCAGGCAGGGCTAAGGGGAGCTGCCCATAGGGAGTGGACGAGCAAGAGAACAGCCGGTGCAGCAGGGCCTGCCTCTCCCTGGGACAAGGCCCCAGGCTGCCTCCTCATCCCCAGACTTTGCCCAGGTCTCCCCTCGGGGAGAGTAGCTAGTTCCTAAATCTCTGTGGCTTCTGGAACACCAACGGCTCCGGCATTCCCAGCCCCCGGTCCTCAGTGCCTGCTCTGGGCCTGCCATCTACTCCTGGCTCTGCCACTTGCTAGCTGTGTGAGCTTAGAAACTTCATCTCTCCCTGGCTCATCGTGGGGATATAAGAAGACCAACCTCACAGGGTTGTTTTGAAGGTTAAATGAGGTGATCCGTCCAGACCTCGTCATTCATGGCATTTACCTGTCGCTCACGTTTCCCACATCAGTCAACTCTATATCACAACATGTGCTCATAAAAGTCACCGTGTTCTGTAATCTCACACAGTGAAAACCAGGGTTTATCGGGAGAGGGGGCCAGGGGCACAACACTCAGAAACTTCATCAGTGGTATGTTAAAAAGAGATAGGAACTGAATAAAAAAAGCCATAGCACCAGTTTATTCCTATTAAAGGGCTAAGAAGTACCTAAATACTACAATAAACATGGCACTGTACACTGAGGAAGACCTGAGGTTGGCTTGTGGAAGTGTGTGCCTGCCAGCTGCACTGCACCAAAGAGCTAGAAAGAGAAGCCGAACAGGACGGGGAGGTGGGTACGGAACAGTGACAGGACGGGGAGGCTTGGCCGCACACCCAGGCGGCCCTGGAGGGCTGCAGCCTGTGTCAGCGTGAGGTGCTGGGTCTGCGGAAAGTTGAGATGGCACACGTAGCTGGCGTGGTTCACTGTCGTCCTGATGTGTGCACGTTTGTGTGTGTGCCCAGGTGACTTGGGTCAGCTGGGCGCAGTTTTTGGATTTACCTAGCATTTCTCTCTGAGGAAATCATGCGTGAGGAAACACAAAATACGTGTTATACTCAGATTGTTCCCTGATACATCAGTTGCTTTGGGACAAAAATAAGTGTCCTAGCGGAACCGACTGTACACTTGTTTCCTGTCCGGGTGGCGACCACGCCCGTGCTCACGCCAGGGCCGATGTTAGAGAAGAGGGATGAGTGACTCCTCCGTCCATCTGCTTCACTCATCAGTTGTGTTGTTTCCTCCCAGAATCTGACCTACGAGATTATCCTGACGCTGGGGCAGGCGTTTGAGGTGGCCTATCAGCTGGCCCTGCAGGCCCAGAAGTCCAGGCCCATGGTGGCCTCTGCCACTGAGATGATCGAAACGAAATCTTCCAAACCGGTGCCTAAGCCTCGTGTCGGCATGAGGAAGTCAGCAGTACGTGGCCCCAGTCGCCAAGACCCCCTGTTCCCCGCCCCCCACCCGGGATTCGAGGGCTTGGGGTGGGGCCAGCTTGGTCTCCTGCACTTCAGACAGCTGGCCCCTCAGGAAACAGCCCTGTTCGTTGGGCACCAGCTGTGAGGTTCTCACCTGGGAGGGCAGCGGCCCACCCCGGGCATCCTGCTCCCACCCTTGCCAGCTCCACCAGGGCCCGGCCTTCGGCCATTGTGGGGCTACAGAGAGCGCGGCCAGTCAGGGAGTCCCTGTAACGTCACCCTGTCTGTCTGCTTTGCTTCGCACCCCAGGTGCCGCTGGCCCCTGATAGTCGCTGTTGTTACTGTCACACCTGCACCACTCATCGTCCTTCTTACCTACCGCTGCCGTCTGTTAGTCCTGGAGTCAAGGTCTTTACATCTCCTGCTGTCTGTGTGTCAGTCTGCCCGAAGTGACCGTGAGCTTTCTGAGACTCTAGTGGCCTCTCCCTCTGCCTGCGTGGCGTTCTTTCCTGAGCTGCCCTCCTGCCATCCCTGTCTGCGCTTTAGCCCTTGTTGTTCTGTGTGTCCTCCCCTCTCCAGAGGTCTGGGGAGCCGAGCCGGCTGTGGTCGTGCGCAGGGTGAGCTCTCTGGCCCTGCCAGAGGGGACCCGAGACTCGGAGTTTACAAAACCCTTATCCCCCCTCCCACCATAAACAGGTTGGGGCTTAGAGCACAATGCTCAGGTCGGGCACGGCTCCTTTAGCTGAGAAGCTCCAAAAACTCCCTGGGACAGGTTGCCCAGAGGTGGCCCTCCCGGCCCCCACCACCAGGGAGCTTATTCTTTGGCCAAGAAGAACAGGGCTTCCCCTCCTGGAGGTGGGAGGACAGCCGGGCCTGCTGCCCCCGCCCAGGCGCAGCGCTCCCTGACCCGGTGCCCTTTTTTCCTTGGCAGGTGGAACCGCCCGATACGGACCCAGATGCCCAGTCCCACGCCAGCGTCTCCTGGGTTGTGGACCCCAAACCAGACTCTAAACGGAGCCTCAGCACCAAGTATGAGACCACTATCTTCTAACCACCCACTCCCTGTCTCCACTAGTCTCACTGTGCCTTGCCATCCGATCTTTCTGCTGTTCTCAACTCTCCTTCCAGCTGCGGACGCCAAGGCCCCACCCCCCCTGGGACCTGCTCTCCTGGGCAGCAGCTCTAGACACTGCACTCACAGCTTGTACCTAACACCACCGGACACTGTGAATTCCCCCCTTGGGCAAGGACAGCTTGGGGTGGGGGTGAGTTGCCTTTGAGGTGGGCACCAAGAGTGCTAAGGGGCCCTGCTGTGCCCAGAAGCCTCAGGGGGCAGGCACTGACTCCTGAGGGACGGGGGCAGTCTTCAAGCAGAGTGCACACAACACCAGTGACAGCTCGCTCTGGCCGGGCTGGGCTCCCTGTCGGCTCTCCTCTCCTGTTTTCTATGCTGAGCCACAGCTGGGTGCGCTGCTAAGAGCTAACTGTCTGTTTGCACCTTTCTTGACACAACCGACCACTGTGACCACCTGGTGCCAGAGTCCCCTTGCACTGTGCTCACAGCCAGCTGTGGCCCTTCTCCTGTGCTCTTAAGGTGCTGGCCTACCCCCCCCGGAGACCCTGAGCTCCGCGATATAGCTGGAGCAGGGTCAGACTGCTTTCTGTGAGGGCCCAGGGCCCGTGCCAGGCCCTTGGGCACATGCCTGGCTCCAAGGCGTGGAGCACTGCGCATCTGAACACCACAGGCCGGCTTCACTCATCAGGGCTCTTGGTCCTGGTGGCTCTTCCACTCCGAGGAATGGGATGGCATGTGTGTGGTTGGCCCCTCCTGACTTCACCAGTGAGTCACAAGGCTGGCTCTGGAGTGTAGCTCACCGAGCAGGAAGGCCTTTCCATAGGACAGCAGGAGAGAGGCCTGTGCCCTGCACACACGGTGCACCTTCCTCCCTCACGGACGGAGCTGCTCAAGGGCAGGGACCTGGACTGAGCCACTTCCATTGTCCTCCGGAAGTTTTCTGACCCTGCTCCAAAGTGTGGGGACCCAAAATAGTCTTCATCCGGTCCCTTCCCTGATCACCCGCCCTCAGCCTCTGGCTCTCCTGAGAAAGGAGGCTGTGCAGGGTGTCACCTCAAAGCAGCTCAGCAGCTGGGATGGTGGAGTTGAGGCTTTGAAGAAGCCCCACGCTCTCCCCACGGGCAAATCAGCTTAGATGGCAGGAGACAGGACAGAAGCAGTTCCTGTAGGAGGCAGTGCAAACAGCGTAGTCTAGCAAAAAAGCCAGCAAGTCACAGCAGCTACTTTAGAATTGGAGCCCAAGTTGATGAACCAGGGTGGGTCCTTCTGCGTCCCTGCCTGTCCTTGTGCCTTCCCGAGCAGATGCGCTGAGCCAGAGGTGACAGTGGGCAGTGGGTCGTGGGCACCCGGAGCAGGCCACAGGGTGCTCGGGGGAGGCTGTGAGGGTCCTTCTGTTATGCCTCTGTGTTTCCTTTCCGTCTCCTCCGCCTGTGCAGGCCCCTTCGGTTAACCCTTTCCTCCCCCCGTTGTGTTTGCTTCTGCCAAGCTGAGCCACTGAGGAGCCAACTCTGCTGCGGAAACACAGACGTGGGGGCACAGGCTCCCACCACCACCACCGTCACCTGCAGCTTTGAGGACCCAGGCCCACCTCTGCCTGTAGGACCTTCTTGGCTGCTCAGCCGGGGCCTGCCACCACCAGGCCCTGCAAAGCGAGCCCTGCCCCGGCTGCAGAGACGCACTCCAGGCCTCTGGCAGATGAGACTGGAACGCCAGAGGGTCACGAAGGGACTTGTCCAGAACACATTTTGTAATAGAAAAAATTTTTTTATAAAATGAACTTTTAACACTTGGCTCAAACCTCTAGGTTAAACTGCCACCCTTTAGACAAGTGGCCGTAGGATCAGAGGACAGGAGAGCTGAGACTGGTAGGAGGCCATCTGGCCAGCCTCTGTCCTCAGGACGGGGGTTGGCGAGGTCCAGGTCCAGTGGGGCTGAGAAGGCCGCGCCTGGGGGTGGGTGAGACGAGCAGCACAGGGCATAGCTGACGAGGTTTGGTTAGAGTCTGCTCTTCAAACCCATCCAGCTCCATTGGCGTTCCTTGTGAACTGCGTGACTTCTTGTCCCTCTCTTGACCTGGGCACAGCCTCTGCAGTAAGAACAGCCTCAGGCACCTGGTGAACACAGAGGCATCCTGTCCATGTCTGGGGTTCCAGATGTGAAGGCCCAGAGGCCACGTGGAGATGAGCGAGCAGTTCCTGGCGCCATGACGTCTGAGCCCGTGCCTGGCGCTGGGGCCACTCCGTGGTCTCCGGCCTGCGGGTGGTCAGAGCACTGCCCTGGGCTGCTGGGCCCACGAGCTCTCTGGTGACCTCAGGCTGCCTGAGTTGGGTCAGAAAGGACAAAAGAAACCTTTTGGGGGGCATTAACGGGTAGGCCAGCTGAGATTGCTGCCTGCCAGTGTGTGGCTTGTCTAAGCAGGTCTCTGTGGTTAGGGCTCACTTGATCCTCTGAATTATTGGTTTGACTGTTGTATTTTCAGCTGCTGGGCTCGTCCCTGGCTCCAATGTAGAAGAGGCTTCCTAAGGTGACAGACGGTTTGCTTCTCGCCCCCCCCCCCCCCCAGTGTGGCCTTCAGGGCAGGCTGGCACCCTGGTGTACCGCTGCCACTTCCGCCCTCCTGCTGGCTCGCTTTGCTTTGTATCTGTGGTCGTGTCCTCCTCCCAGACTGTAGTAGCAACAAAGGGACTAATTCCAGTGAGGCAGAGAGGCAGAGCCAGGCAGCTACCCGTCCAGTACCTTCCCGAGTAGGGAGCAGAGAGGAGCCGTTCCGTGGGTAGTTCAGCGGGACTCAGGCCTGGCTGGCACGCTCGGTCTGGCCCAGGATCGGCACCCCGGGTTTCAGCAGCACTTCTTTCCCAGCAGAGTTTGGGAATTGTTCTGTGCTGTGCGCATGTGTGGGGAGAGTGCCCTCGGGCACATCCACAACCCTTGTGGTGGGTCAGAAATTGAAAGCGGGGCGAGTCTTCCTGCTGATGTGAGGCTGAGACCCATGGGTTCCTCTCTGCTGAGCCGTCCCACACCTTAGGCCCTGGGGGTCACCTCCCCTCTGCAGTAGAGGCAGGAGAGCCTCCACTTTTCGGTACTAGACAGGAGCATCGACACCTGGAAGTTTGACTTGACTTCCTGCTTCTTCCCGGGCCTGTGAGGATTCCCATCAGCTCACACTGTACAGGGTTCGGCCCCAACTTTCTTCCAAGAATTGACAAGGCACCGGAGCTGGCTGGGTGCCGCTGCTGGTGTGCTCTGCCGTGCCGAGGAAGGCCAGGTCTCTTCTAAGCAAGCCTCTCGGTGTAGGTGGGAGGTCCAAAAACAAAACTGTAGACACTACAATGAGCTCCTCACGCTTTTTGTTTGAAAGTCAGATGTAGGTTGTTTCTTCCCCTTGAAGCTGCTATATCTTTATTTATTCAGGGTATTTTCATATTGGAAAGCCTTGGCTAGTCTGCTCTGGCTCATGATTGTTTTGAGATGGGTTTATTTCTGAATATTCCAGAAAGGAAAGGACTGGATCTTCCTTTTTTACTTTTCCCTGGGGCGGGTACTCTCCCTTCCCTGGAAAGGAATATTATAACTTTAAGGACAGGCTGCAAGTGGAAAAGGCCCTGCTTCTGCGTCTGTGAGTGCAGGTCACGTGATGTGACCAACCCCATCGCTGCGTGTCTGAACTGTTGGGAGCCTGTTTAGCTGGGACTTGAAATGGGGTTGTTCCTGTCACCAGCACAGGCACCTCTGGTTGCCTCTTGTTGGCTTGCCAGCTGCTGAGCAGGACTCCCCTCCTGCAGGCTCTGCGTGTGCAGCACTCCGCACCCCTCGTGGCTTCTAAGCGTCAGATTCTGGGGAGCCCTTGAGAAGCCTCGGGCCGAGCAGGCAGCAGGCACAGTTGCGGTCACCCAGAGGCTAGAAAGCTGGTCCGACCTTGGTCTGTGTCTGAGATACCCAGGCCTGCAAAACGACTGTCACAAAAGTATTGTTGCTAATGGTGTGGCAATGGGACTGAATTGTAATAAAAATGTTATTTAATCTTGGTCTCTGTATTTTGATACTTGAATGACTTCCCCTTTTGTTTTGCTGTACATATCATTGTTAATCTGTCCACTTTTGTCTGAATTACGAACATCTTGTGGTACCAAACATAACCGATCTGTGCAACAACATAGACTGACCTCACTACACGAGAGTGTAAATATTCCTGGGCTTCCAAGCTTTGGTTTTGTTATTTTCATAACTGTACAATTTAGAACAGACTGAATTAATAAATGAGAAGCAACACGAAACCAGCCTTACTTCTTGGAGTCTTTGACTTGGGATGTTTCTTGACTGTTCCCTGGTGCGGGCACAGGCTGGACGCTGGCTCGGGTCGGCCGTGTGGGTCCTGACGCTTGGCCGGGATGAGTCAGGACTCCTGTCCTGCTCCATCCAGCGCCCTTCACGGGACGGATGGGTGGTTACGGTGAGCCCTGGGTAGGCGCCAGGGCCCTGCGATTCACCCTTCCCTCCTAGGATCATCTAGTCTGAGTACCAAGCAGGGGCCACACTGGCTACAGCTACAGCTCTGCATCCTGGTCTGGGCTGGTCGACCCACGGACATTTAGGGAACTTCTGTGTACAGGGCAGCACTGGGGGGTCAAGAGCTGTGGAAGGAAAGTGTCTCCCTTAAGGAACTTGATTTCATTGTGGAGGTTAAGTTTTAAACATACACAACTAGCTGCTGGCCCAGAGCCACGCCGCAGGCCCACAAGACAGACCCAGGACTGCAGGGATTCAGAGCGACCCAGTGCCCCCAGAGCCAGGTGGCGGGAAAGCAGAGGTGGCGCCAACACCGGTATTTAAAGGAGAAGGTCTGGAAAGGCACGAACGACACCGATGACCCTGTCACTGATGGAGCACTTAGGCTGCAAACCCTGCCAGCAGCTTTACGGGCAACCGTCTCATCAGCCCTCACACCTTTCTAGGTAAGTGTTACGGTAGCTGTTTATATAGAGGGAAACAGGCTTAGAACGGTTCAAACACCTGCCCAGAGCCAGCGAGAAGGGACCTCAGAAACCATGCAGTCTAGTGGTTTCCATCCATTCTCAGAGCCCCTGGTCCCATGCCTGCTTCAACCCGAGCTGCCTGGCACTGAACACTTAGTCGTGAGTTTCTGTGACAGTCCATTTGTTAAAGGGCTTTAAAAGAGAAAAATCAGTGATCTAACCCATACCCACCTGTATTTATGAAGAAAACAAGGCTCCGAGCAAAGAAATGCTTTGCTGTTAGCCAGCCAGCCAGCTAATGGCAGAGAGAGGACCAAGATCCAGGTTCTTCCGGTTGGAGCTTCTAAGGTCAAACTGCACAGAACTTGGGAACGTAGACTGAGGCCAGTGCAGGGCCTCACGCCTCTGCTGCTTGGCTTTGGCACTCCTTTTGACAGAAGATACCTTACAGCCCGAAGGAAAAGGTCTGGTCATAATTAGTGTCACTGTTCCTCTGGAACAAGGTACCAGGGACACATTGCCACTATCACAATCCCTTTTGGTGCCACTCAGAAACCTCATGTGTGACTAACTGCCCAACCACGGGCCTGCCATTCTGAGCCTCAGGCAGCACTACACCTGGCCAGGTGGGAACCAGAGCTGAACAGATGGAGAGAATGGAAGGACAGGGAAGAGCACAGGGGTGGGCCAGCCTCAAAGGAGCAAAGCATAGAACACACTCAACAAGACTGTGTCAGCCCACCCACCTCCATCCCTACCTCTGACTCACTTCAGTCAGTGGGTGCACACAACTGGCTCCTCGGGACCTGGAGGCTGTCCGCGGTCAGTGTGCATTGATTGCCTTCCGTGGAAGAGCGGAGCCTAAGGCGGACCCTCACAAGGCCTGTTCCATGCACTCCTCTCCCCCCTTGGGCCCATTTCTGTCACTCATCCACTTCCTCACCAGTCCCCCCTCACAGATGTTCTGTGGCCCAGGCAGCTGGTGCATTACGACTGCAGGCTGAGCCACAGCAGCCTTTAGGGACCAGGCTACTGAGGAGGCAGAACCCTGCAAACGAGCACTTTCCAGGGCAGCTCACAACACCGTCAGCCTTGGCCACCTCCAGCTTCCTACTGACACCTATAGGGTATCTAGATCCCACCTGGCTCCCAGCAGATGGACAGGCAGACCCGTCACTCTGTCATGCAGTTCACACTGGCTCACACAGCACCAGTTGTCATCAACTAACATCCAAGAAGTTCAGAGGTTTGAACTACCCATTGCTCAGTGAGGCCTCAGTGACTCTGTGACAGCTGCTTTCAGGACTTGGGTGTTAGCAACACTATTATAAACAAGCATTTACCAAACTAAAGAATTCCCCAACACCATAAAATATTTACTATCCAGTAAAGGGAGCTGGGGAAACAGGGTAGCCATGGGGGGGGGGGGGGG